GAGAAAGCCCCTGGGATTTTTAATGACCACAGAGAGTCAGGACCTTGGTTTTACGTCTCATCCAAAGGATGGTGCTTTTTACTGTACAGTGTCCCCATCACTATACTGGGGCATTAGGACCCACGTGGACTGCAGCGTTAGCACCCCCTGCTGGCCCCACTAACACCTCTTCCAGCTGCAACGTTAGTGTTTCCCAGGAGGTCTCTCATCCAGGTACTGACCAGGCTCACACCTGATTCAGTCTGTTGCCAGTTGTGAGCTGCAGGGTGATGTGGCTGCTGGCACTGGGCACAAGGTGAGACTGACAGCACATGACTGCAGTCACCCTGGACAGTCCTCAGCAGGCCACAGAGAAAGGGATCATTTTGAGTAGTTAATCAAACCTGGCCAGCCTGCCTTCAGAAGGCCAGGGAGAACTGGGGTGCCACTGCAGACCCCTGGAGCTGTGAGACTGTCGCATCACAGTGCAGCCTAGAAGGAAAGAAGACCACTTGACTAAAATACAATCTCAATTTGGCTAAACTGAAGGTGAATCGACCATGTAAACGAGCTTTCAGTACCCTTTTAAAATCCTTTTTAAAACTGCTTTGAATTCTACATACTGTACAATATAAGAGATATTTACAATTGTTTATCTCTGGCTAATATTAAAAATTAAATTGGTTTGCTACATTAAAAATTGTTATATAAAATTGATTTGTTTTAAGCTAATGAAAACTTCGTAAATGTCATCTTTTAAGAATTTCACTCTACTTCGAAACAGGGAATAAATTAATCGCAACACATAACCATAGCTGTACAATGATGAATGTTGTACAGTAGATAATTCACCGTTTTAGTTTTTTTTTTACAGAACCTGCTTTAAAGAACAAAAGTAGTGGGCGTACAAAAAGCGGTTATTGGCATCCAAAGTTACTTTGGTCACAGTTCAGAATTATTTAAATGTGTATGTATGAATTAATTATACATTTCACCACATTATTACTGAATTACATAGACTTTCGGCTGCAGGGTTAGGCGTTCTGGGGCAGTAAGAGAAAGACTGGGAACATTTTTTTTTAACTTTTCCTGTACTGTGTAAAAAGAATCTATAACGTCTATGACATTAATAATTACCAGAAGCTCGAATACAATTTCACTAACAGAATTTATACCCCTTCTTGCTGCATTTGCAAAACTGATATTGTTATAATCAAATGTCAAACGCAAAGTATTCAAGAAATTTGGCTACTTAAATATACCTTAATAGTTTGTTCATTTTTATTCCTTACACTGAGAGTTTGCTTTTCTATCCATTTTATCTATAGTAGAAAGCAAAGGAAAAAAGTGCTGCTAACGTAGCACGGTGCAAATATGATATTTATACAGTATGGTCATATCATGTACAGTATGAATACTGTAGTATTTCCTTTGAAAAAAGTTTTGTTTTTCCTTTTTCACAAATTACTTCAGAATAACTTACAAAGTTCTCTGTACAGTATATGACCTTACATAATTTATGTATGCAATACTGATCTTTCCCTATGGACATATATTAAATAAAAGGAATTGATATATTTGAGGAGGAGGACTATAAAGTTCACTCTAAATTTCACAGAGAACCAGTGCAATTTACAGAGGACAGACTTAAGGTACCTGTACTTGTGCACAGCACTTTTAGGAAACACACAAACAACAGAATTGTAGACTTGCCAATTTAGAATTTTAGAAGAAAAGAAGGTAAGATTTTAAAGCTGTAATTTTGATATAAAGGATTATATCAATACATTTGCATCACAGCGAGTTTCATAATCAAACAATGTTAACCAGAGTTAAGAAAGATACCCTTTCGGTATTTAAACCATGCTCTTTAATTACATTTCATTATGAGATCATTTCATACTGAGATTTTTCCTACAGCGGTTTACATGAGAGTGTACGGAACAGATTTGCGCATTTGGAGACAAGGAGGGCATATCCAGTTTCCTAAACATCCGTTTTGTTTCTTTGTTAATTATTTATATACATTGTACTGTACTCTTACGTACTTCTCCAAACTGCTGTGTACTGTTTCTCCTCGTGGCATTATGACAATGAGCTCTCTTTCGACACGTTTGCGTCATCGCAGAAAAACGCTGGAAGCGAATGAAACCCCACATGCCACTGAAGCAGTTGTTTTTTTAAATGATTCGTCTGATACATCTGGATACAATTCATAAAGAGAGTATCCTACATTTACTTAGGTAATACTTCCTAATTTGAGTCTTGTAAACCTTCAATCTCGAGAGGCAACAGCCAACCACCTAAAGTGACGACATAACTGACAGTACCTCGATATGAAATGTCGCCTGGTATGAGTATTATCTGGTTTTGAATTCCACAATAGCAAAAATGTTTTTTCATTCATTGGTTAACCTCTGTATCCAGAGTACGGTCGCGGGATATTCGGGATACACTCTGGACTGGACGCCAGTCCATCGCAGGACACACACAGACACAGATATGCACACACTCACACCAGGGCCAATTTCCCTAAACACCAATTGACCTAGCAGGGCGTCTTTGGACAGGGGGAGAAAAACAGTATTCACTCCATCATAATCTGGAGGAGACCCATGAGGGCACGAGAAAAAAACAGACATATTGTACTCCACGCAGAGAGCGCCCCAGATCCAGACCAGAACTGAACCCAGGGACCCAGCACTGTGGGGCATCAATACTATCCACTACGTCCCTGTCCCCACCAATGGTTTTATTTTTTAAAAGGATGATTTATAATGTACAGTATTAATATTATAACGTGCTTTTTCATACAGCGCTGCAATACGCATAGCAGGAAACAAGAATGTTCTCTTCAATTATACTGTAAACTTATGAATGTAGAGTATGATGTCCCACCTAATGTTTGAACCCTTTTAAGCTTTACTGTATATTAATTCTTTGATTTACTTATTGAACACAGGTAAACTTACATGCAAATAGTATGTCACATCACTTTTTGTAATTTTATGTGACTTCATCATGCAAATTGGCTTGAATTTCACAAAGCTCCCGCTGCGATATTGCGAAGTGTTTTGAGATGGTTAAATACGCATTATATAGAACTCCAAAAAGATGTTATGCACACAATACAGAAATAAACGCCATTTTATTCTTATATGTAAATATGATGTATGATACTTTCTAGTCCAAGTCTAAGCAAGACTTATTTTAAATATACGCATAACCTGTTCATTTCAAATATGAACTGTGAATTGAAGTTCAAACCGTTGTAATATTTACTTGGCTTAAGAAACTATGTTTTACTCCGGCTGTTCAACAATCCTTTATCCTGCTTGTCAGAGCTTGCTACTGTACTTGCTACTTTGATTTTAATTGTGAAGTTTAGCTTTCCAAAAGAGGGCTCGCAGTTGTTACATTCAAGCAAGCAGTGACTGGAATTACGAGATGTCAGGGACGTGCTGAATTGGAACAGAATTGGTAAACTGGCAGGGACTCTGAATACCGTCGCGTCGTATTTCTTTCGCCCGAGTAACTGGTAAGAGAATAAAAAACAAAACTAAAACAAAGGACAAAAAACAACCCTCTGCGAGTTGACTAAATCGCTCAAGGTCTATTGAAATAGTCCAGCTATTAAAAATGCAGGGACATTTCGTTATGGAGAAGTAAATCTATGTTTTAAGTTGTTTTCAGGTTTATTTACTAATAGAGCAATCCCACGCACTCCTTTAAACAGGATTAAATTACAATTTAAGGAGTGTATTTTAATCACCAACGGACACTGTTGTTGATGTTGAGTTTTTCCAAGTTTCTAGAAAGGACGGTTTTACCAGTAATAAGTTCACCGGTAGTTTATTCCACTTATATTGTACTTGAGGCAAACCAACCTCATTACACATCTAGCAATGATGCTTTTGTTTTAAATGTCAGGGAAAGGACGATAAACAATCGGTTCTTCTATCTGACCTTTTGTTTTCCGAAGAGTGCCGTTTGTTTCCTCTGCTTTCGCATTAATTACAGATCTTCTACACCTGCGCTCACCGGCACCTTTCCGCAGGACTTGCTTTCTTAAACCGGCAAAAATAGAAGTAACCTTTTCATCAATTTATCTTTCCAGTTGGTAAAATTCCTTGTTTCATTCATATAAAAACAATTACAACAGTACATGTTTTTTTTTACAGTAAATACAGTAACTCGCGTTTTATCTTCCGTCTTATATCACGAAGTACTGTCGCAAAGAAGTACTACATACAGCCTACTGTATGACTACAGTACTGAAAGGGATATTTTACTGAATACCAAACACCGTGTCCTTGCTGGACAGTTTTTTTTTTCCTAGAAATTGACAGAAATGGCTTGCAGACCATGATTTTTTTAGCCAAGCACTACAGCTTAATAAGATAGCATTCACAGAGTCACAACCTGTCTCGCGTAATTGCGCTAATATTTACATAGATATCCATCAAGATGCAGTATGTTTTTGTTTTAATTCAATAAGCTGTTAACAGATGCCAACATTAATAATTTTCCGACATAGATGATTTAAACAACAACAACAACAACAACAACAACAAGAACAACAACAACGATGAATAAGTAATTAGAAACAGAATCTTGACGCTTCGCCTAAAACTTTTACTTCGACTATATTATTTCACTCGCAATTTCTCCCAATTCATTTGTTTAGTAAGTGCAAGTTCAAACACACAAAATATAAACAAACCCTTAATGATACATGGGATTATTCTGGTTTTGTTTTGTCTTTCACTCTTTTTCTCTTCAGTTCTTTAAAAGCAAAGAGCATCTTGCCCAACAAACGACCGTAAATCCTATCTCAAATCGCACTTGTTAACATCAATTTGAATGAAGGAACGTTGAAGTTTGGAAAGTCTTAACGCCAGCACCCAGCCCACTACCATTCATCAAAGTAACACTTTCTCTAGAAAGAGACTATAAAGAAATCTTTGTAAAGCCAGAGCACTGTTCCCTACAGTCAAGGAAGGAAGGGGTTTGCCACCCACCTGGCCGTTTTTGCAAAGATCTGCCCACATGCTGGTGCCATCGCCACCCCTCATGAGAACATGGTAGATGAAGAAGTAAGTGCCAGGGATGTTGCAGATGAATTTGCCAGTGGTGCCATCGTAGTTGTTGCCCAGGTTGGTGACCACGTCGTCAAACTTGAGGATCTCATAGCCCTCGTGGGGGTTCTTAAGCCCAGCGTAAAAAGCCACTCTGGGGATGGTGGAGTAAGTGGCTGTGCTGATAGCTCCGTTGCCCCCAAAGCCCAGTATCCCAGTCCTGCCGGGCTCCCCCTTTTCTCCTGGAGGTCCAACGGGTCCCGGTGGCCCTGGTTCTCCAGGAGGCCCCGGGGGACCAGGTTTTCCGGGCCTTCCTGGTTTCCCCTGTGGCCCCTGGACAAGAGTAGAAGGCGGGGGCACAATGCTGTGGTCACTCAGGGCTTCGGCTTCAGCCCGGATGCTGGCACTGGTGGTGGTGCCCTTGGTCAAGTAAGGGTCGCAGACCATGCGGCAGGTGCCCAGCATCTCATAGTGCCCAGCATCTGTGCCCACGGAGCTCACCAGCACGGGTATGAGGATGACCAGCACCAAGACCAGCATGACCCCTACGGCAGCCGCCACAAGGGTCTTCCTCCCGATGCTGAGCCGGGGAAGAGGCTGCGCTGCCACGGTGGCTCTCCCGGGGGCGGAAATGGTGACTGCTGGGTGTGGGGAGCCTGCCACCGGCGAAGGGGGTCCGGAGATCCCAACAGGGAAAGAGGGAGAGAGAGAGAGAGACACGCACACAGAGACAGACACAGTCAGAGGAAGGAAAGGAGTGGGAGGAGAGGACACTTATTAGAAAGGAAGAGAGAGAGGAGAGAGGACGAAGAGATAGTGAGAGAGAAAGAGAACCCGAGGAATCACAGAGCCAGTTTTGTGTTGATTGATTCACAGGCAGTCGTTTTATATTGCAGCAGCTGTGCCACCCCCCCTCAGGCTGTGAGCTTGCATGGAAATACATGGAAATGAAGAGGGCTCCTGCCTTTCAGTCTGACAAGAGGCGGACTGAGGAGGAGTTTCCTCATCACATCACATTATATTATATTGCATTACAGCACTTGCAGGCTCCGGAGTGAAGAGTGAGCAGCTCCCCTGAACATTTTTCAGTATATTTTGGCCGTCCCTCTTCCTCTTTCTTTTTGTATTTCAGTGTTTATTATTCATCTATTGTTTTGTCCACGGGGAAGAATAAAGCAGTCAACAGGGAGGTGCGGTCATCTTCTTTATTTCTCCAGAGAGAGAGGAAAGATCTGTGGTGAGAAGGCACGCTCTCTCTTTCACACACACACTCGTGCTGGCTTAAAGCACAGTGCAGAACCAGCACATCCCAGACTGAAGAATTTAGGAGTTCAAGAAAGGGTCTGTTTCTCAGGATGCACAAACTACAAAAGGATTTTTTCCAATATAAAAAAGATTAAAAAGGAACTGTATATTTCACTGCAGACTATGTCCATACTTTCTGCCGCTTGCTCCCAATGACAGTTTAGTTTGGGCAATTGTACAATCACAATAACATGCAGTAGTAATACGTGATGATTGTATGTTAAAGTTTATTCTTTCGTGAGGTTGACACATTTGAGCATACCCTAATAAAGCCTGTTGCAAAGCCAAGATAAACATGTGATATAGTATAGAACGCATGGTATAGGGTGCAAAATTGCCATTTCAATAAATGGTTTTACCACACATGACTCTCTTTCACTGTTATTGCCCCCTACTTTCTAGCCTTGACATAGTCGCTAAACATTTGTCTTTATCGCACTGTTGATTTCTTACTTTTATTGAATGAAATTGGATTACATTTGTTGGCAAGGATAGCATATAATCTCTTTGAACTCTGCACTACAGAGTAATCTAAAAACTGCTATAGGAAAACAGTTCTTTAGTTTAGTTTTTTAGTTCTTTAGGCAATTATTATATACAACTACACACAAGAAACACAATGTTTGGAGCTAGATGATTAAAACAAATAATTTAGGAGTGCTTGCCAAACCAAATCACAGAAAATATTATTTAGAACACAGATTAAAGAATCATGACACATCTTCTGTAGTAAATCTGACACATTCTTAAAATTTACAAAGTTAATATCGATATCACCTCCCTTGACATGACCCTGACAGCATTGATGCACCGACCTGATCAGCCACTGGACAGACTGCTGTAGGTTGTTCTGGCTTATGAGTTGTCTCTTGTTAATGTCTCTGCCATGCTCATTTCATATTATGTTTTTAATGAATAGCATTGTCTTTGCTCAGCCTAGAGTATATGGTCAATTACTTTCTTGGTAAATACTGGGGTGAAATATTAATTCAATATTCAAATTCAATATATTAGCAATTTTTCTTTCAACATCTAAGTTTCCTCTTTGTATCTCAGATACACTTAGTATTTTACACTTTACTTTTTACTGCTGTTATACTGAAAACATATACTGGTTATACTGGTTTCCTTGCTCAGAAAGAGAGATACCTAGGGCATGTGTATTGAGACATCAATTAAACTATCTCCTCAGAAAAATGTGTGAGAAATCATGAAATAATTACACATTATTTTGCTGTTCAAGCCAAACAATGCCTCTAACAAACTTATATTCCAGACCTTGTGCCCTTTAACATTAGATGACAAACCTGTTCAGCTGGTCTGCCCTCACTTCAATTCATACTTAATATAATATAAAACAATTGAAGAACAGCTACTGTATATATAAACATGCTAATTTGACGATTAGATTAAATATGGAAGTCAAAATGTGGGTTTCTATTCTTATGAGTCTGCACACTCCACAAAGTCAACCTACAATATATACTGTATATGTAAAGATTACTATATACTGTAATAAGTATACAGTATACAGCAAGCAATAATAGAACATGGGAGAATCTGAATGCATCTATTTTGTTACTTTATTTGAGTATACCAGATGTAATAGAAATGGTGTTCAGTGCATTGAGATTTAGTTTAACGGCAAAGCTCAAAGATTTCAAGTTTTCTTTTTTAATAATTAATTAATTCTGCAGATGCCAGTGTCTGTTTATTTGTCTGCTTTGTTCCTTACTGTGCACTTCAATCATTGCTCTGTGGAGGTGGGGGAAATGTTACACTAGCATTAAAAAAGTGACGTTCATACCAGGTAGGGGCCTTTTATGCTGGTACTCTTATTTCCTTTTGATGTTTTGAGTGACAGGGATGCTTAGGCTGTAAAGTACATGAATCCACTCGAAAGGAACCCCTGATAATATACAGTATATCTTTGAGCTTTGAGAAAACTACATTTATACTGTGTATCCTTGTGTTTGTATGTTTGTACAGTATGTGTGTAAATGTGCTTGTGTTGTATGTGAATATGAAACTATACTGTACAATGATCTATTAACTCAGAGCACTCTGCTGTGTCTCTCTGCAAGAGCTCTCACAAATATGCATGTCTCTATCAAGCAAATGAATGTGATGGTATATTAAAGCTCTCCTCAGCTTGCTCATGCTGAGGCTTTTACCTTGATGGGAAATAAATCTTCCTGATGGAAGGTCTAGCACTTCTTTTTCCTTTGGCCATAGTGTTGGATTTAAGCTACAGCAGAGACCGAAACCGAATGTCCTAATTCTCTTAAGTACCTTGTATTCAACTACTTCAGATAACTCGGCTACTATAGATTTCCAGGACTTCTGGGGATAGGCCTATAAATATTTTGCATTTGGGCATTCTTTTTTATTTTCTGTCCAAGAAAAATGTTGAACTGTGATGGATAGTCCATATTTTGGAGAATATTTTGTATATATGTTGCCTGCAGAATTCAGAAAAGCACAGATGAACTTGCTGTAATACAATACACTCACTGTACCTTCATGCTAGATGGAATAGTTTGCTTTTGGTAATTTTTCCTTCTGTTTTTGAGAGATTCCCAACAGTAGTAATCTATCCTTTATTTACAGTATGTGAACCATGCTAAACGATAGGGATTACACATTCTTCTGACAAACATTCACCAGTTGTTATGTGTGCATATCTAAATTGTTTGCCTATTCTTTTTTATTACTGGGCTGAAGTACTGTTCTTTCATATCCGAACAGATAACCCAGCAGCTCTCAAATGTATTGTTACTATTGAATCAGTGACAAGCCTTTCTAGCTGCATTCAACTAAGCTGTAATTTCTGTGGCTGCAAGTTTTCTGTTACAATTGCTAAGCAGTGTTATACAGTATATGGTTCTTTTGATGCTTGTGCACATAATTGATACCTATACAAAAATTCCCTCCTTTTCATTTTTATGGTGGCTGTCATCTTGTGGTGGGGCTGAAAACAGCTTGCTATTGCTAATACTGTATGTATGTTTTCAAGCATTTTATTGTTTTTGTTCAGTGGTTTTAATACACATTAAAACTTCTTATGTTTAATATACTCCTTTATTATGTTTATGTATTCCTATTTATTTTTTTCCAATCTTTTGATTTTAAGTGTACCAATGTTTATGTACTGTATAAGGGGAGCCATTTATAAGCTACTCTAAGTAGATTAGATACAATTAGATACAGTAACTTACTAAATTTAAAGAAGACACATTAATGTAAACTGCCATGCATTATACTTCATCAGGTACAAGTGGAGTATTTGTGTAATATAATCACTAAAATGCTAACTTACCTGTTTTATTTGATATCATTTGAATTGCTGACTTATATCTTATGCCTCAACTTTAGTTCTTCAATAAAAAGGTTAACGTTTGACTAAAAACAGAATCCCTTACAAAAATTAACCACAGTAATAATAATAATAATAATATTTACAAGCTACTAAAAACCACAATAATGCAATCACGTTACATAACCCATTACTCACCTACAATGTACTGTATTAGGGTTTTTAATCATTAAATGTTAATCGTAATGCCTACACAAGAAAAAAATAAAATCTTTGGGCAAGGGATTAAATGCATGTAATATATCTAGCACATCCAGATCAGATTACAATTTCTCAGTACTCTGGATGCCAGAGACTGGCCATTCATCTCCTTCGATTTCAATGTGTCAAGCATATGATTCATGACAGCATTCCCATCTGCACTCAGAATCCCATCAAACTCAGTGAGTTCCTGCAGGAATTTAGTGGGGAGATTAAAGTGATCTTCTCTGAACATTTTAGAGGTATAAATTGAATCAAAATCATTTCTTACACCTGAAATATTCGTTTTCAAATATGAAGTTCTGAGATTAATTCAGATCTTACTTTATTTCAACTTACAGGTAATTCCCTCTGTAAAAGCCATATTGTGGATGTTGCTGTGACTGTGTGAGCATTCAAAATTCCTTTTTTCTCCTCCAAACCAAATCCTTTTTTTAAAAACTGTTGTTGTATATTTGACATGTGAGTGTTTAAATGCACGTCTGTTGCAAAAGTCCATGAGCTCACTGCCTATGTTAGCTTTGAGAAGGAAGGTCTGCTATTCTGTTGCAAGAGAAGGTTGGCCATTGCAGTTAATTCAGGAGAATTCGAGGTTTTCAGTTTCTGTTTATCTTTGGGAAGAGATGGGCAAAGAGTCAGTCTTCTTACTGTAAATATCTCCACATTGTAGATGGCACACCATTTCAAATATGAAACGTTTTAACTGATATAAAGTATATATGCACAAGGATAAAGTCCACTTTCTGGTTCACCAGTGCCACTGATTGCTGATGTACACAGGGGATGCTTTAATTAACTCTTGAGTTCTAATCTCATCAGTCTCCAGGGCAATGTGGCTACTGCCTGTGCAAAATTCCATGGGAGCAGAGCCATTAAAACTTTGCTATCT